ATCTACCACTGCTGACAGGTCCTGTAGCAGGTACACACCAGACAGATACCATGAGGAATGCTTAGGACTCAATGACTAAAGCTGTGAGTCTGTCACAGAGGTCTCGTAAGTCATGGATTCTGTGACTGTCCTGGACCTCCGTGACTTCTGCAGTGGCGCCAGTGCGACTGACCAGCCACTGCTGGGGCAGTCTTGGGCCACCCCCCGGCCCCCGCAGCGCTCCCGGGCTCCCCCCAGCACCTATGGCGCCCACTCTCCAGAGCACCCAAGATTTAGTCACATATAGTACAAGTCATGGACAGGTCACAGGTCGTGAATTTTTGTTTATTGCCCGTGACCTGTCCATGACTTTTGCTAAAAATACCCCTGACTAAATCTTAGCCTTATCAATGACCATAATCAGGTGCAAACACCTGGGACAATGGGCGAGCTGCACCCTTAGAAAAACCATGTTAGCTGACTCCTCAGAAGGGAGAAGCAGTGCACACTTACCAGTAGAAGAACAGGCCAGCTGACCAGGAGGGGTTTAAACACACACACACACACACACAGTGATAGGAAGAGGAAGCCTGGGGAATGAGGAAGGTTGCACAAGCTGGGTATACAAGAGAGAAAAATGCAGGCTGTTGCATATGGATAGTTTGAGGAGGGGGCTTCCTGAATGCCTGCTGCCTTCTGTACCCATATGGTTCCCCAAGGGCTCACAAAGGAAGGGTGAGCTAGTGAGGAATACTGTGGTTTCAGATGTTTGTTATTTTGTCTGATCTGTACTCTCTGGTGCTTTACATGATTAAGTAAAGAGCCTAAATGTGTTAGACCCCATGCAATGTATGAGTGTGTGTTCAGTTTCACAACTGCTGCACGTTCCTGAGAGTTAAAACGTAACAGAACATGTTTTGGGTAGAGTCCTTGGAGAAGGGTATGTTTAAGTAACTGGGTTATCTCAGGGGCCAGCATTCGTCCAGGGGCCTAGGGCAGATGAGCTGAGATCCATGCTTTCCATGAAAGCATAACAGACTGAGTCTATGCCCAGGAAATGTGCCAGAGGAACCAAAGGAGGAAACAGGGCTGCACCCCACTGAGACCTTGTAAGAATCAAGAGCAGCAGAGGCTTGGATTTCACTCACAACAGCCCTAGTGATGGCATGAGGTGGCGCTTCCTAGGATATGACACTTTTCATTTTCCCATTTGCAAAGTGAGGAATATTTCCCTACTTCAGAGGTATTAAGATGATAAATTCATTAATGTTTGGGAGGCACTCAGGTGGCCATGCTAATGGGCACCACAGAAAAGTTCATGAAAAAAAAAAAAAAGACAATGTCATATTCACTGCAGCATTTGGATGGCATGAAGTAAATGAGGCATGGGATCCACACATTGAATGTTGAGTATAAAGAGAAATCATTGCCAGTTGCCTCCTTTGCTGAGCACAGTACATCCTGTGTCTTGAATGAGATGTAATTAGATTGTCATAATGAATATACACAAGGGGCAGAATTAAGATTGCACTGACTACATGAAATCTGGTATTTTCTAACTTTTGAGTACTTGACTTCATGGCCTACTCATCATTCTTTTACATTTTTTCTAAATGGAGTATACTACAAACAGAGTTCCATGGGACTGGAGTAATGTGAAAACCATCAGCCTATAAGCTAAATTATATCTTTTCTCAGCAATGACAGACTGCATGAAAGCCTAACTGAAAACTTGTACCAAAGGCTCAGTCAGGTCATCGTGATCATCTAGTCTGACCTCCTTTGCAGGTCACAGAACCTCACCCACCCAACTCCTGTAATAGACCCCTAACCTCTGACTGAGGTACTGAAATCCTCAAATCATGATTTAAAGACTTCAAGTTACAGAGAATTCACCATTTACACTAGTTTAAACCTGCAAGTGACCTGTGCCCCATGCTGCAGAGGAAAGCAAAAAAAATAATAATAATAATAAAAAAAAACAGGGTCTCTGCCAATTTGACCCAGTGGACAATTCCTTCCCAACCACAAATATGGCAATCAGTTAGACCCCCAAAGCATGTGGGCAAGACCTACCAGTCAGACACCTAGGAAAGAATTCTCTGTAATAATTCAGAGCCCTCCCCATTTAGTGTCCCATCTCCAGTTGTTAGGGATTTTTGCTACTGGTAGTCGCAGATGGGCCACATGCCATTGTAGGCAGCCCCATCAGACCATGCCCTCAATAAACTTATCAAGCTCAGTCTTGAAGCCAGTTAGGATTTTTGCCCCCACTGCTCTCCTTGGAGGACTGTTTCAGAACTTCACTCCTCTAATGGTTAGAAATCTTCACCTAATTTCGAGCCTAAACTTGCTGATGGCCAGTTTATATCCATTTGTTCTTGTGGCCACCTGGGCACTTATGTTAATTAATTTCTCTCCCTCCCTGGTATTTATCCCTCTGATGTATTTAGAGAGAGCAATCATATCTCCCCTCAGCCTTCTTTTGTTTAGGCTAAACAAGCCAAGCTCTTTGAGTCTCCTCTCATAATGTAGGTTTTCCTTTCCTTGGATCATATCTGTTCCCTTCCCTGCACCTGTTTTAGTTTGAATTCATCTTTCTTAAACATGGGAGAGAACAATTTCACACAGTATTCCAGATAAGGTCTCACCAGTGCCTTATAAAATGGTACTAACACTTCTCTCTCTCTCTCTACTGGAAATACCTTGCCTGATGCATTCTAGGACGGCATTAGCCTTTTTCTCAGCCCCATCACATTGATGGTTCATAGTCATCCTGTGATCAATCAAAACACCCAGGTCTTTCTCCTCCTCTGTCACTTCCAACTGATACATCCCCAGCTTATAGCAAAAATTCTTGTTGTTAGTTCCTAAATTCATGACCTTATACTTTGCACTATTACATTTCATCCTATGTTTATTACTCCAGTTTACAAGGTCATCCAGATCTTCTTGTATGATATTCCAGTCCTCCTCTGTATTGGCAATACCTCCCAACTTTGTGTTATCCACAAATTTTATTAGCACACTCCTTGCTATTGTCAAAAATAAGACCACATATTTAGCTTGATGCCTACCCACCAGTCATAGGTTCTGGAACACCTGCCAATTGAAATTATATTCAGAATTATTTCATAGATTTATTCATGGTTCAAAGCATTGCATTCCTTCTGAAAATTCAGACTGAGAAACTGTGCAAAGTGGAAACAGTTTTCCTTTGAAGACAGATTTTAGAGTTCATAGAACATGATAAATGCTCACAGAAGATCTAAATGACTTCAAAGTTTCATTCACAAACATGTGTCCAAAACAAACACTAAAAGGTATTAAGGTCAGCACAAAGACAACAGTAGCGGTGCTGAATATCTATAAATCACATTGATACCTTCCACACTAATAGAAATTTGT